TTATATGCTCAGTTGCATTGTGGAACTCTAAGAAGGGAATGAGGTATGGTTTTCCCGTGTTCCATCTAACAGTTTTAGGAAACACCTATTTAGGGATGAGTCCAACTGACCTCATTTAACTGCTGAGAAAACTGAGGCCCAAAGAAATTAAATTGTTTGCCTAAGGTCATACGGCCGTTGGAAAACCTGAGTTCTTGTCCAGATTTGGCCACTGTCTCCCAGAGAAGAAAATCTATTTCATGACCCAAGAGCACACATTAGAACATTCTAGGAGGCACCCCAAGATTCCTTCTTTGATACTAGAGGGGAGCATTGCATAGGCGGGAGTCCTTCGTCTTGGCCTGCACAGATGTCAGCATTCAGCACAGCGCAGGCTTCCTTGTCAGGGAGCGCCGTCTGGAATGTGGGGTGCAGCTCTCGCGGGCTGTGCTCCTCTCTCGCTCTCCCCACCCCCCAGCTCTCTCTCTGTGTATGGTTCTGTCCCCCTCTGGGACTCTCTTGTTCTCTCTCCCCCCACCCCATCTCTCTGGCTCTCTCTCTCTCTCTGGGTCTCTCCCTCCCCTCACCCTGATTCTCTTTTCCAGGTTGCATTCTGAGGTTACTGTCGTGGTGAGTCAGGGCAGCACTGGCCGCTTGGCTGAGACCTCTACACAGCAAAACACCAAGCACCCAGTGACGGTGCTCAGGGAGCCTTGTGCAACGATGGGCCTCTTTATTCCAGCTTAACAGCTACATCCCTTTTCTGGACTAGGAAACTGAAGTGTAAGCTCATTAAAAATGGGTGTTTGTGCCTGGCCTTGTGCAGAGTTGACCATGATCGTTCTCAGGTGCCTTCCCTGGCACTTTAGCCTTGAAACTTCAGGTGCATCAGTGTGACCTGCAGGAGCATGGGGGTGGGAGAGGCCAGAACGTGTGTGTGTGTGTGTGTGTGTGTACGCATGTGCAAGACACGAGAGGGAAATGTTGGGCACGTCAGGAAAAATGAGTTGGCACCCCCTCCAAACTGCTCTTTTTTGACTGTTAAGTAAGCATGTATTTAGAGGACAGGGTGGTAGGCACCCGTCTATGAGTGTGGCATGCAGGTAGTGGTGGGGGTGGGGGACACATTGGAGGCTGTGCCCCCACCTGCATACCACACTCATAGAAACAAAAGCCCTGACCCCCCTTTTTAGAAAAGACCGTTTAGCGGCCATCTGTTGTTATTCCAGCTTACTCTTCTGGGGGTCTCATTCCCTCCCACTTCCAAATGGCTTTCAGAGTATTTCTTTCCACTCCACACAATTATTTCCCTGAAAGGAGTTCTTAAAAAGTACAATTTTCTACCTCATTACAAGTCTAGTGAAATTTTTACACCAGCCCTCATCCCCCAACAGACGGGTCCTATATCATGTGTTGTGTGCACGTGTGTGTGTCATCAGGCTGATGATTTAGTGATGACCCTGTTCCTAATATAGGAAGTGTGCGTGACACCCTCCATGTGGTCACAGGCTGTCCCCTACAGAGTTCACGCCCTTCCAAGTAAAGAAGAGACGCAGGGCGGTATTCTCTTAGGGGATTATTAGATCCACTGGAATGTAATAAGAGCAATGGGCAATGGTAGAGAATTAATATCCCCACTTGCTGGAGCAGCTGTCTTCCCTCTGCCTCCTCCTTAGCTGCCTCTGACCCTTTCTCTCCCAAGGACAAAGGCATGTCATCCAGAGGAGCTCAGGGACACAAACATGCCTGGAGAAAGCCACTGCCTGAGTGGTCCCCAGTTCCCATCATACTGTTTCACACCTATCGAGGGGTTCCGTTCCTTAGGAATGCACAACACCTGTGGCCTTAAACCATCCCGTTTCTGGTGCTCTTAGCCTGACACAATAGAACACCAAGACAGCCAGTTAATTGGGGGGAAAAAATCACTTCAACCAGTTGTTTGGCAGCGATTAAACAGAACAACTACTAGGTCAGCTGAATGATGCATTTTACAAAGAAGTTTTGTAGGCACAGCTGGAATGAAATCCTCTTGTGACCTTGAGCTTAATGTCCTTGTACCAACACCAAACTCAAAGATTTGCTAATGAAGACTCAAGACGGTGACACTTCCAGTTGGATTCCTTTCCCCACAGTGGTGGCCAAGTTCACCGCCCATTTTACCCAAGCTCTCTTTCCAAAATAGAGGTAGGTTCTCCTTTGAGTGAAATAATGGATCAGACTGCCTGGGTCTGGCATTTACTAAGTCACTTTAAACAAGTAACTTACATGCCCTGAGTCTATATTTCCTCATCTGTAAAATGGGGATAATAATAGAACCTACCATTCTGGGCTAATGTGATGACCAACAGGATGATGCATGAAAAGTGCTTAACACAATATCTGGCACATTATAATCCCTCAAGAAATAAGGTAGTTATGATTAATATTAGCATTATTGTTACAAGAAAATAAAATTTTGAAAGGAAATTTGGTTGTATCCAATCTTATGTCTAGAAATCTCTCTAACTGAAATATGACACGTGTACAAAGCTTTTTGCAAGAGAATGTCCATGTAGCATTGTTTTTAATGCAAAAATTTGGTAACGACCTTGTATCCATCAACAGGAGACTAGCTAAGTATTTGAGAGTTCTTCCATGTAGAGGACTACTCCACAGAAAATCCAGGGTGGGTTCTCTCTGCCTGCTCAGCACAGCCAACAGTGCTTTTGAAAATCACTGAGGCCTCTGTGTTTAGATTGATAATCAAAGCTTTCCTTCCTGCAATCACAGAATATTCTCTGGGATGCTAATGAGATGATGATTCTGTTTTACAAGGAAGAGTGGATTTGCATCACTCAAGCCAAACTGAAGAGGCACAAGCCCTGAAGAGGGAGGAATCGAGGCGCTTAGCTGAAAGATACCCTGGTTCCTGGTACAATTTCATCTTCTTCCTGTGACCTTCAAGTCATGGGGCCATTAAGGTGGACCAAATGAGTTAAGGACCTGACTTCTGGCCGTTAGAAACCCTCCTCAGCGCTTTCTACCATGAGAGGAAGAAAAATTTATCTCCCAGGCCATGGTAAAATCGAGAAAGTGGAATGACTTTCTCCATCCGTCATGGCTCCAATCCCTTGGTCTGCTCCCTGGGGTTTACCTGTTCGCTGTGGCCAAAAACACTAGCTTGGGAGTTGAGCCAGGTACCTCAGCCATCTTGCCGCTTTGCTGCCTCTGCTTCTCCAAAAATGAGTCCTCATTCCTTCTGTGTCTGATTCTACCACCGGGAGTGCTGATCAGGATCCTCTTCCTCAAAACCAGAGCTCTGCATTCTTCATCTGAGCTTCCTGTTCTGTTTGGCTTTTTTCTCTCCATCCCTGGGCTTCTCTGTGCTTCCTTTCCCTGGACCCCATTTTCCTTGCAGGGGCAGGCCCCATTTTATTTTAGTTTCACGGAAGGAGGAGGCGCACACAGACCACCAGAAGAAAAGAATTGTCATTCTGGGCGCTCCTTATACCTGCAAACTCCACCACCTGTTATAGTGGCCCCATCGCATATATCCTTGAGCACTCCATTTTGACCTTGACCCTTCAGATTTTCTTACCCCTTGCCTTTTAAAGGCAGAATGAAAACCTCTGCCCTGCCCCTGCCCCCACCCCCACCCCAGAGGTTAGACTGTGTAATGAACCCTGAGTTTGAAAGCACAGTGAAAAACAAGTGATACACTACCTGCCATTAGCTATGAAGAGCCAGCTCGTGGGACAGGCAGATTCAAACCCCAAACTGCCCTGAAGGGAGACTATGCTCCCTGGTTACCTCTTAAGAGCCATTGTTCTCCATTGTACGTCAAGCCTGACCTATCCTCTTGCTTCCATTTTGACAGACTTCTTGGTGAATACTGACACCTACACATAAAGTGAGGCAAGACTGAATCCTTGGAACCTCAGCTCTCTTGCTCCTATAGCCAATTTCTCCATGAATAGGAGCCGGAGATTGTTTCCCCCTGCAGTACCAGACTAGGCCAGCAGGGGTCTGACATTCGTTGCTTTTAACCCAGGACGACTGAGTCTCCATGGTGATGGCTATGTGAACTTGAACAGGAGCTAACAGCCATGATTTGAGATGGCAGAACTCATAAGTATAAATAGTGATTCCATTTCTGTAGTAAGACTAAAAAGAGTTCAGCCCACAGGGCATCAATTTTCCTTATCCACAGTGAAGGCTTGGTTTAATCCAGTTTTCATGTTTACCCAGAAAATACATTCTGTGAGGGAGCTGCCTTAATCCAGGAGCTCGGACCTCCCAGATTTCTGTCTAAAAC